TTCAATTTTTCTTAAAAGTCACGTAAAAAACTCAATTTTGAGGGGGGTTTCTTCTTTGTGTTTTCCCAGAAAATGTCATTTAGGGCCTCAAAATCCCATTTTTTCCGGAAAACCCCCTGCTGCCAAGGTTTCTTGCTACCCATTCAGCCGCCTTCACATCTAAATGGTTACGAGGGGTTTCGTAACCGGTTAGATGAGTGTGGGCAGTGTATTTCTCGTGATTTTTGGCCTCCTAACTGGTTAGATGATCTAGGGTTTGCACTTTTTGACCGTTTTGCCCCTTCTTCTTCCGTTAGCCATATCTTCTTCATCCGGTCTCCGAATCAAGTGATTCTTGAGTCTAAATTCATTAATTTTTTGTTATCTTTCCAATGGTGTGCTCGGTGACACCCACTTTTAAGCTAGAAATGATGATTTTGCTCCTAGGTGCATTTTTATCAGTTTTTGAAATGTTGCTTCTGCATTTGTTTCCTTTGGGTTCCGTGACCTCATTGAGTGTCACATTGGTGTCTTAGAGATGCGTGGTATCTCTAGAGACCTTTGTTTTGTCTTTTGCTTTCGTATTTCGGATCCGTTATCGGGTCATCTTTCGGTTCATCACTGACGCACCGGGTTGAAAAACTTGGGTCGTCTCATAGTTGTTGCTAGTGTGGATAAGTGATGGTGTAGTTATGTGTTAGATAGCGAATGTTTGGTCTGACAGAGATCTGTGGATTTGGGTTTGAGCTTGGTTGTGAGATGGACGGGGTTCCTTGTCTAGGGTTTTGTGTGTCCTTTAAAGGATGAGTTGAGTTTAGATGTTGTCATGCTAGGTGGTTTGGTGACCGTTCTTCTTTCGGGCTCCGAAGCCTTGCGTGGCAATGTAGAGTGGACTGATATCCATTTTGAGTCGAGTATAGTGTAAAACGTACCGTTGGTTTTGTGTTATGATGTTATAAGTAAGGAGTACTTTCATAAGGTGGTGAGCATTAAGTTTTAGTGGCAGTAGTGTGTGATTGCCTATTGGTGTCTGGTGTCAAAGGTAATAAGGTTGGTGAACTCTTAGTCCTGCGGTTTGGTGAGGTGTTTCTCGGGAAAGTGTGTAGCTGTGGGCCTCCTTCTTTAAGGAGAGTAGATTTCGACGACAAAATCCTTTTAAGGAGGGTAGATTGTAATAATCTTGATTTTTCCTTTTTCCATTTCTGGAATTTTTTTTTTTATTTTTTCTGGATTATTTTAATCCTTGTCTCGTTTTACGTGCCGAACACCGTGGGGTGGCTAGGTATGTTCCCAGGTTGGTTGGAGCATTTCCTTGAGTTCAGGACTCTTGGAAATGCATTGGTTGTCATTTCGGCATTTTATCGTTTTTCAGAACGAGAGGTCCCAGGTGGGACCCGCTACCGGAGTCGTTGAGCACGGGGATGGTGTTGCGGGTTAATGGCATTTCATATATCATTATTTTGTGTTCATTTACTTTGTTACATGGTTATTTAAGTGGTTGTAAATTATGTTTAGTGTGTGTGTGTGTGTGTGTGTGTGTATATATATATATATATATATATATATATATATATGTTAATACTAAAAAGGTAATATTTTTTTGTGATGAGACCCACTTGTTACTCATTTTAGTGACCTTAAGGCCACTTGGCTAAACATTTCAGCCTCAAATTCTCTCTCCCACAGGAAGTCTCTCTCTCTCCCTTTTGTTTTCTTTTATTTTCTTTTTCTTTGAGCTTCAATTTTTCTCCTCCATCTTCTGGCAAATCGGTCGGGTTTTTGGTGTTGGTTCCTCGACAGAAAATGTCCCTCTTATCATCCTCTATTACATAGTCAAAGGATTTAATTTTCTGAGGAACGGTGATTATTTTATGAATTTTTGAAGTTATTGGATTTAAGGCTTCAGAGGGGGTTTTGGGCCATTTAGATTCGGATTCTGGAGCCGAACCTTTGGAACAATAGAATCTCTTTGTCGACGGCTATGTTCCCACCTAACAGTTTTTCGTTTTGCCGCCATTGACCGACATTGACTTTTGTTAACTGGCGTTGACTTTTCTGGCCAGGGATGCATTTTGGCTACTTTTGAGGTAGGGATGTCTAAACCATAACGTTTTGACTTTAGTTGAGTTCGTTATTTGATTTCTTGCCAAGCATGCTTAAAATGACGTATATCGAAATTGAATTGTTGATTATGTGTTTACATGTTGTGTGGTGAAACATAATCTAAATGATGTTAATTGTGTATATATATGTGTTTAGTTGCAAATTTGTTTAATGAGCATGCCTTGCGTTGAATTGTTCTCTTGAGGTTATATATATATATACATGATGATGATGATGAGTATGTATGATTAAGTTAATAAAATGCAAGCATGTGTATTGTCAATTTCATTCATGCATGATTCCATTCATTGCATGAGCATGGTTTGGGAAAAGTGAGGTTAAAATGATTCTTGTAAAGAAATGTGATTGAAAGGGGATTGTGAGAAAAGGATTTAGAAACGAACCGAGTATCGCAAGCCCGGGGCTAACTTGACCTAGAGTGGATGCGACCCAGTGTAGGGCGTGAAAAAGTTGACATTAAGAATGTCGATCCCGACTCAGTAAAGTTAGTTAGTAGCTAACATGACCTAGAGTGGGCGCGGCTCAGTATAGGGCGTGAAAAAGTTGACACTAAGAGTGTCAATCCTAGCTCGGTAAAGTCAGTTAGCGTAGGCGGGGATTTGGGGTTGGTGTGAGACCAAGTTCGGGACGGTTAGGCAATGCATTGCATTTCATGCCATTTTGGCACCTATGATTATGACTGATTATGTGATGATATTTTTAAAAAAATTGAATGTCGTGGTTTGTGATTTTGATAATTCCCCATGTATGATCCCGACATCTTTTTCCTGTTCTTTGGTTGTTGGCTCAAAGGAGTCCAAAATCGATGTTTTAGGCATTACCTACTAAGCTGTTGAGCTCACTCCATCATTTATTACATTTTTCAGATCACGGAAAGGAAGTGGCGGACGACGTTCCTCTATATGTTTAAATAGGTTAGTAGACTGTTTTATCATCTTTTGTATTTGTGATCTCATTTGTTTTGTATAAGCCTCGAGTAAGGACCCGGTAAACGAATCAGACCCCTATTACACATAATATATTTCATTCCAATGATAAAAAAAAGGGAACTAAAATTGAAACCAAATTTCAATGAGAAACTAAATATTAATGCTTACTTAAACAAAAGGAACACTCCACCCGGACAACGCGGCACAGTTTCTTTACTCTTCGCATCTGTCATAGTGTTTGCCTCGGGGTGAAATTCTTTTTCATCTTCATCTGCCTCTTCAAGTGGCACATAATTCGAATAATTGTCAGAGGCCATTTTAGAACTCTCACCAACCTGACGACTACATTTCTGAATAGGAGAAGGATCAGGGATGGTTTTCTTCTTTTAAACAAGTACAATTTTCTTTTTCCCTTTTTCTTTCTTATGAGCTATACTCTTCATCCTAACCATTTCAAACCCTAAAAAATACAGTGACCCAACTTCTTCAATTTCCACCAACAAATTTAATAAACCCAACAAAGCCAGAATTTGAAAGACAACAACTGTAGTATCCATCCAACTAACCGTGTGATTTTCAAACCCTAAAAAATACAGTGATCCATCTTCTTCGATTTTCACCAACAAATTTAATGAATCCAACAAAGCCACAACAATTGAACTCAGACAACCTTAATTTCAGACCAACCACAAAAAGCCTCAAACCTCAGACGCAACAGCACAGACCTTCCCTTGTTCTTTGTTGAAAATTAATGAAGAGCTAAATGAAGTAAAGGGCTAAATGAAGTAATGGTTAAATTAATAATTCCAAACAATCCATTGACACATGTATTATTATAACTTCTACCGTAATACAACTAAAATAGAACTAAAATTGTATACCCATGTAATACAACTAAAATAGAAGCCATTAAAATTGTTTAACCCAATTTTTTAAGTGACGTGGACAATTCTCCTCCACTTATTCTAAAATGGAGAAAACTGGACACTCTGTTCAGCCACAGAGAATTTTGCCCCCACTATCTACATATACTAATCACATATATATGTGTGTATATATATATATATATATCCATGCACACATACACATCAATGCTCCAATTAAATAAATTCATGATAATGAAAAAAAAAATGTCGGGATCCACACGACATGCAAAACGATGTACGGATAATAAATAAAATAAAAAATACCGAAAAATCCGGGACATTACAATTTACAACTTGATCGGACTTATTTTAATCACGAAATTTGCCAAATTACAAATTTATATCTCACGCTAAAGTCTTGTGTAAGGTTTTCCTCTAATTTGTTTCAAGCTTTTAAAAAGATTCCAAACGAATGTTCAGAAATTAGGAATTTGTTTCAACTTCTGGGTTGAAAGGTTTCTACTACTGTTGAGGAGAAGTACTATTCTAAGAAATTAATGTCACAAGCCCAAGAGTGTGAGTAAAGTTCACCTGCAGTGCAGAAGCTAGCACTCCACTTTATGTTTGAATACTTATTGGTAGTTGCCATAGAAACTGAAGAATTTATAGCCATTTGGAGCCTATTTTGGGCTTTCAATTTGCGCATTTCAGGCATTTAGTTTGAAAATCCATAATTTCTAACTTCAGTTTTCATCAGAATGGGTACAAATATATGTATTTTTTTTTTTACTACTACTTCGTATCGGCTGAAAAAGTATCTAAAAATATCAAAATTTGATATTTGTACCATGAACTTAAAATCTATAATCTGACGATTGAGCCGATTCCATGATTATAACTTCATTCTATACCAGATCAAGCTAGAATAGGGTCATTCCATTCCATTTAATCAGATCTAGCTATAAATTAGTCATTGTGCAGTGTTCATGGTCCCAGTTAATCAAGGGTGTTGGATACAAACCAAACATTAAACAAAGTGGTTGATTTAAACTTGCATTCTCACGCTTGATAACTCGAGCTTTTACCACTTTTTGTGACAAATGACAATGCATAATCACAACCATGAAAATGAAGGAGCTCTATTTCGATCATCTGATCTCCACATTTTATTCTGTTCTGCATTACCAAGGCTCTCATGTACTTCACTCCCTCATCTCCAAACTATTATAGTTAGGAAGGGAATTAAAATTTTAACTAGCATTACCTCAGTATACAAAGCCAAGAGGGTGAAGAAAAGGCCAATTGAATCAATAGATTTTGCCTTTATTGTAAAGAATGAGACTCATTTACACTCACCAAATTTCTGAAACAAAGATCTTATCACATGAAATCTTTATCACAAACCTAGCTAGCTACCCACTTAAACAAGAGAATCTTTGGTGGACTTCTTAACCTCGTGACTTTCTTTATCTATGTTCTTCCCCACCAGAAGCGGTGCGGGTTCCTTAATCTGAAACAACAGCAACAAAACAATTATCAATTCCCGTCGTGGAGAAAATCACACACACACACACATGCATACAGAGAGAGAGAGAGATACCTGAGACCCCGGTGGGATCTCTCCGGATTGTTTCTTTTTATTCTCACGTGTGCAAAAATATGAATACAAGACCATCCCGAGAATGGCAATTAATATTCCAATGATGTTCCTCTCTGTGAAAGGATCGTGAAGTAGTGTATAGCCGAATCCAAGTACAAGGCATGTCTTTAGATGGCCAAGCACTTGATATGTAACCGGCGATGTCTTCCCAATAACTAGAAAGGTGCTGAAGTTGACAGAAACGGCAATCAAGCACGAAAGGATGATGAATCCCTGCACATTATTTATGTTTTCATATGCAATTAGTCATTGTTGTTTTCGACAATAATTCTTTTGGTCAAATACATGATAGTATATATGTATGCACATTCAAACATGACAAATATTCATTATATATATATATATATAGCTGCTAAAATGTAATGCTACATATGAAAAATGCATGAGGCTAGGAAATGAGGGATATATACCAAGACAATGGGAGAATATTTGTAAGCAAAGACATTTTGCTTGGTAAGGCACTGATCCACTATAGGGCCCGAGACAAAAAGAATAGCTGCTTGAAATGGGGCTGACTGGTAGAGCAGCTGAGTAGAAGAAACATTGAGCCTCTTTTGTATCGTATTCGTAAGCTGAAATAGCAATTAGGTTAAGAATAACCTCACACTTGCAATTTATGGACCATATGTATTGTTTGATAGGCAAACCACGTACAAAAGATATAGTATGACTATAACTTTCTTTTGTCCCAATTGGGACTCGAATCCTCAGCCTCCTCTTTGGGAGATGGAGGAGATACTGCTGGGAGCTAAAGCCCAAAGGCCATACAATGCCTCGCTTTGTCACTCACAGTTCGAGATAAAATATAATGGAAGAAAAGGATACAATTTGACCAACACAGGTTGTTGCAATAGCTAGAAGAGAAAGAATCGTCCCGACTAAATTTAGCTGCAAATCTGTTATAGAGGCAATGCCAACTCCAATGAGTAAGAGGAAGAGAGAGAACTTTATCTTCTGGCTGCAAGAATCCACCAAGTTGGAATGAAATCAGAGAAAACGTATGGAGATCGAAAAAGTCCCAAGTATGAAAATTAGTTATAGTAAAATTTTCAAGTTTTTTGTAAGACCTGAATTGCTTATTCAAGAAAAGAGTTTCCAATAGTACAGTGAAAGGTATGATAGCAAGTTTGGTCATCTGCAAAGCAAAAACACAAAATCAAATTCACATACAAAAATATCAATATTGTATATAACTGAGTGAAAAGGTTTGATTTCAATTCAATCATGAGTTCATTTAATTTCCCTCTAAAATATGTATTTGACAACAACTTCCAGGAATAATATTCAGTGTAGTAATTCAAAGTGTGGTCCTAAAGATCACTAATGAAGTTGAGTGTCCATCTTAAACACTGTAAGATTTTTCTTTCTTGCATTCTATGAAAGTGACTTCAAGGGTTAGCATTTAGTGCATTTTTAGATGTCCCCTGATATGATATGACGCCGCCTCCATCAAAATAGATAAATAGTGAATATTTGAAACGTCAGAGGGAAATGTGTAGACGTGCCATTTCGATCTATACTAAATAAAATTAATATCAAGTTCCAAGGGAAGAAGGATCCCTAGTCTCATTGAATGTGTGGTCCTAAAGCTCACTAATGAAAGGTTTGTTCCATTCCACGATATTTGGGAAGTGTCTAGACCAAAATGCCATTTCAATGTGTGGTCCTAAAGCTCACTAATGAAAGCTTTGTTCCACCAACTTTCTGTTAGAAATTGAGGGTCCATCATATGCACACTCAGATTTTCTTTCTTGCTTTCCATGAAAGTGATTTCAAGTGGTAACGTTTAGTGCATAGTTGGATGTCTTTTGATATAATATTAGTCCCTTTGTGTGACATAATTTTCACCACAAATTCAGACCCTTCATAGATGACATGATGCAGCCACCATCAGAATATATATAGCGAATATTTGAAGCATCAGACTTATCCAAGATTCGGGAAAAAAACCTTGATGTATTGGGGGTTTGATCTTCGTAATGATTATGGATTACAAATAAGTATGTTAATTGCATTGTAAGGTAGCAGAGTGCACCTGATAGAAGCCGATGGAGTTAAACCCTAGGCTTAAGTTGAGAAAACCAATGGAAACCCCATTCAGAATTCCGAAAAGCATCACAGTCTTCATGTCAACCGGCTTGTTCTCAAAGAAGTTGAAGCGATACGCCACATGAAGAGTGCAATATGTTACCATCAGATGCCAACTAGTCAATGTTGTAGCTGAAGGAAAAACAAAGGAAGAAATCAAAACTAGAATTGATAAGTATATATAATTTTTGCAACATCAGCTTTTCGACTACTTGGATGGCTATGAAAATGTAGTAACAAGGCACAAATCCATCCTTAGCCCTACATACTACCATCACTTCTCTAATAATCCTACACTATAACAATTCTGTGAATTAAAAAAAAAAAAAAAATTAAAATGGGGTATATTTTAATTGCTATGAAAGAGAAAATTATTCATCCACTAGTGTGGTTTGTCAAAGAGAGTCAAGAGTGTAGCATTGCTATGCCTTGGCAAATGAGAGAAACAAGGTCTATGCATTAATGTTAAAGAACATCATGTTGTAATTAATTGTTATAAATGTCATAGATAAAGATTAGCTGAAGACCTTAGCAAGATAAAAACTGTATTAAATTAATTAAATTGTTTATAATTTTCTAACAATGAGATTCCAACTACTTACACCAGAGAAAATGACATATATTTTCCTACTTACCAAACGGGAAGCCAAGATTACTCATCAATGCCTTGTTGCAGATGACAATGGACACCGATGATGCTACTGAAAGGAACAACGCGCCTATAACGCCCAACTGGATGCCTGACAATTCCCCCATCCTTCAACAAATTCAAAAAAAAATGAAAGTGAAAACACGCGATTCGCATTACTGATGTAAACGTCATTTGATTTTAAATTAATGACACAAAACTTAGTTTGAAGTTTCATTTACTAATTAAATTAACATGACCTTAAGATCCTAAATTCATAACAAATGACTAATATGATAGTAGTACCATTGTTTTGGATAATTGACCAAGTCTAGCTAGTATAGTATAATTAAGATGAAAAAACAAAAAGAATTGTGATCCATGAGATCATCTTAATTACTAATTAATTAACTAAGCCAATCATGTTTTAGATTGAAATGTATAGACACCAAGAGTTCGTTAATTAATGGCAATTCTTTGTGGGGAGAAAATTTTCTAAATAAAAGAGAATTTAATTTTCTTGGCTTCAGTTTCTGATGGAAATATATGAAAGAGAAATATGGGGTGATAAAATCACCGAGAAGGTAATAAAAATTTAAAAAAAAAAAAAATCACCAAGGACTTGCTCAAAGTGGTATTTTATTCCTCCTCCTTGGGAATGGAAGGTTGAGGGTTCGAGTTCGTATGTAGTCAAAGGTGAAGCTGAGATGTTAATTTAGGAGAGTGCATGGTGAAAAAATAATAATAATAAAAAATAAGAAGAAGAATTTTATGTAGAACAATAAAAAGAAAAGTAGAATGACATAGTTTTGAAAAATAAAAAATAAAAAAGTAATTACCGGGAAAAAAATAAAAAAGAATTTAAAGAGAGAAAGAGGAAACTAAGGAAAAATTAAAGAGGGCAATATATACAAATTTCTATATATGTAAAAAAAAAAAAATTAAGAAAATAACTATAGTAGGGCAAGTCAGAGTGGCACATGCCCCCTGCCCCGGCATGCATTGGCTCCGAATGATGGTATATTATGGTGACAATGGAAAAATCTGTTAGCACATACATACACACACACACACATATATATATATATATGTACAAATTACAAGTTTACTACCTTGAAGAATCTGTGTTTATGTATAGTATATATATGTACAAATTACAAGTTTGCTACCATGAAGAATCTGTGTTTATGTATAGTGTAGGAGTGCTATATGTGAGCCCTGAAATTACAAAAGCAAAACCGACATGATTTCCAGTACTAATAACATAAGCACATAATATAGATATATGTGGGTGTAGATATGTGTTTGTGGGTAAATATACACAACACTGTATGTGTATGTATATATATATATATATAGAGAGAGAGAGAGAGGACCTTGAAACTTTGGTAGTGACTTTGCAAGCAAATAAAATTCCTACAACTCCAGGAAATCGCCCTGCAGGCTAGTAGAGAAGGCAATGTGGCCGAAGGTTGACAGCAGAGAATAGATGGAAAGGGTACTGTAGAGAGAGGGGAGAGAGAGAGAGAGAGAGAGAGAGAGCTTGTATGAGAATGTAGAAGTTTGGTCTCTTTTATGTTGCGTCTATGTGTGGTTGTTGGTGCTTTAACGCCGTTTGTTTTAGCGGTCGTTTGGTTTTTGTCGACCGGTGAACTTAACGGCTAGTATAAGCAAGAGAGGCTTTGATTCCACACGCTTATTAAAATTTGGTACTCCACTAATTGATGGAATCCAAATGTCAAAAATACTCTTTGCACTTTACATTTTTTTTTTTTTTTTTTTTTACATGAAAAGTCCTTTTAAGGATAAAAAAAGTGATTAGGTATATATGGATTGGATAATATTAGTATTACTTAATAGCTAAAATTCTAAATTAGATTGCAAAACACTTGACTCGTTACCAGTACCAAATATATAAAATTAGAAATTCAACCCCTTTTTTTGCTTTTTCTATATTTTGAAAAATGTTTCAGAAATTTTGTTTTAATTCAGAAATAAAGATGGATTGTAATATTGCACAACTCAAATGGTGAGAAGAAAACAAATCTACCCTTATGTAAGTGATGTCATAATATATTGGTAGTTTAAAAGGATGTTTTAGTCTAATAAAATCCTATAAAGTATAGAGAAAAATGTTGTGTTTTACCATTACCAGTAGAGCTGCATGATTGATGAGCTTTCATGGGGATGGGGATATTTGAAATGGAGTCTTGATACACAAGCCAGGAAGGTGAGATGAACATTTCTTTATTTGTGAGTGAGGTTCCTGTAAGTGCAAGCAAATTGGTAGCTACCCAAAACCTCTATTCGATTTGGTTGGTGAGAGAACAACTTCAATCTCACTCCAAAACACTTGACCAACCAAGCATGGCACTAGAGTTGGCTCAGATGTGTTGCAGCTTTGCACCAAAAACTCGCAATCACTATATATACATATATATATATATATAAATTGCCTAGGATCTGATGCTCATATTAAGCGAATTCCTATGACAAGTCCTTCATTGAATCCCCATATTATGTATATAATATAGGTGGGGATTCAATGAAGGACTTGTCATAGGAATTCGCTTAATATGAGCATCAGATCCTAGGCAATTTACTTCTGCATTGCACAATTGTAAGGCAAACTCATTCCCAATGACTTGTTAATTTTATGAAGAGATCGATGCATTTGGAGATGCGAAGGAGACGGGTCCTGATCTTTATGGATAACAAAAAAGACAAGAAAATAGCTTCACTCTCTCTCATATCGACTCCATCACCGGCAATTATTCTAATGTTGTGTCATTCATTTTAATTATTCATTTGTTTGGTATACAATTTGAAGTGAAAATGGTCATTTCATTAATGAAAATTCATTTCACAACTAAATCTATAGAATAACCATTCCATTCCCATGTAATTTTAAAAAAAAAAAATCATTCTCATAAAATCCTCATATTCCAAGTCCAAATACCACCACTATCATCACCACCAACACCACTACCTTCTACCACCACCGCCTTCCACCAAAACCATTTCCTCCTTTCACCACCGCTACCACCACTGCTACCACCACCGCCATTGCACCACCACCATTGTTGTCGCCTTAAACCGCCACACCATCGCCGCCTCCACTACCATCCACCGTCGCCACCTCCAACTTTGACCACCACCACCGTCATTGCCACCACCCTATCTCCACCACCACCACCACCACATTGTCGCTGTCTCTACTGCCTTCCACCGCCACCGACTTCCATTATCGCCACGGTCTTCCACCACCACCACCATCGCCACAAACTTTCACCACTACCCCCTCCATTACCTTCTACCACCATGGCAACCTTCCACCCCCACGGCCACCACCGACTTTCACTACTACCTCCGCCTTCCACCATCATCACCATCACCGCCTTTCATCACCACCACCACCTTCCACCACCACCACTGCCGCCACTACCTTTCATTACCGCCACCTTCCAACAACACTACCGCTGCCGCCACCGACTTTTATCACCGCCACCGCCTTCCACCATCACCACCACCGACTTTCATCATCGCCACTGTCTTCCACCACCATCAACTACCACCACCTCCGCCACCCTCCCACCACCACCGCCACCATCGTCACCTCCACTGCATTCCACCACCACCACCCTAGACCACCACCACTTTCCACCAACACCACCATACTGTTACCACTGCCTTCCACCATTATCACCTACACCACTGCTTCCACCATCGCCACCGTCACTGCCACTGCCTTTTACCAATACCACTGCCTCTGCCTTCTTCCACCATCGCCGCCTTCCAACACCAGCACCTACACCACTACCGCTTTCCACCTCCACCAGCATCACCACCACCACCTACACCACTACTACTTTCCACCTCCACCACCATCGTCACCGCCATCTGCCACCACCACTATTTCTTTTTTTAAAATTATAAAATAATATTATTTTGTTAATTTAATTTATTTGTTAGTAAGAAGAGAATTTTGAATAAATCAATTAGAAACTCATTCCATTCTAATTTTTAAATTGGTTCAACTAAACAATAGAATGGTTATTATCATTCCATTCTTACACATTATTCCATTCTCATTCCCATTCCATTTCATTCATGCCTACCAAAAGTAGTATAATAAGAAACAAACTGTAACGAACTGAGTGATTCGTGATCTAACCCAAAAGCTTAAACTGTTAAGTAGAATTAGCATCCAGCCCATTTATACCCATATTTCTCATTTGGATCCGATATGGGACAAACCCCTTCTAACACTATCCTTATAAGCTCCGAATCCTTTCTTGAAATAAATAAATAAATAAGAAGAGCAGATTTATGCCTCCCAATCTAGAGTGTGCCGCCACCCCTTCATATCCCCGTGGTTGAATTGTTCTCCGTTATTTTTGGGAGCCCGACTTCGAGCTTTGTCACCACTAATTCCAAATCTAATATTCTTGCCCTAAAAAAAAAAAAATCTAGAGTGTGACCTACCACCAAAGGGCTTCATCCTAGTAGTACTTCCTCTTTTCCAAAAAGAATGTCTAAGGGTTCAAGTACTCATAGGGACAAGTAGGGATGTGTTTCTCACTAAGAACAAAAATTAAGGGTGTGTTTCTTACTAAGAATAAAAATTAAAACATCTAGTGTGACCTCGCATCCTCCTAATAAACCAATAGGAAAACGCATATCAGACGGAATCTGGAAGTGGACTTAAAGCTATAACAAATACGCCAAACAGACAACACCACAAAATGTAGGTACAATTCTTTAAAAAGTGAAGAAGATGAATTGCTGGAATGACACCAACCCAAAATAAACAAATTAAATAAATAACAAAATAAAGAAGCATAGGGTAAGCAAAAGTTGAGTGAACCTAAATACAAGTGGTCGTTTGTTGTAACGTTTGTGTTTAGTATTTACTACTTCTATACACAAAATGTGACTTGTTCTTCTCTGTATCTGATTGTAATTGTCTATAACTACAGAAAATCTGGCTAACACCTCTATAGAACAAATAAAACATCACTTAAAAGGTATTGGGCAATGAAATATCCCCCTCAAAATAGAGAAGAAAGAAGTAGAAACGGGACAATGTACAAAGCAGAGGGTGTTGAGAGCATTTCAAAGCTAACCCTTCCCGATTCATGCAATGTGCGTCGTGTCCACTTTGCAAGGTGTATCCGGAGGTTGGAAGCGTGTCAAATTTAACCTATCCTGACTTCTGCAAGTTTTAACTTGTCCGCTTTGCAAGGCGAATCTGGGGGTTGGAAGCATGCCAAAGTTAACCTCTCCCAACTCCTGAAAGGTATAACTTGTCAGCTTTCGCAAGGCGTATCTGAAACTGAGCCCACTCACTTCTGCACCTCTCCCTCACCTGTGAGTGAAGAAGGAAGTAAATCAAATCTAATTATCCGAATCTTTTACTCATCTATTAAAAATAATAAATAGAATATAAATAACTACTACGTAGTATAATTTTTCATATGTGAAGGGAGAAATTTTCTATTACTTCTTCCATCTTAATTTAATAGAAAGCAGCCCAGGGCAACACTGAAAGTATGGGTTTCATGCTAATTGGAGAGAAAGGTTGAAAACCATTTTAAAGCAATCAAAGTATATTAAAATTAAATGTAAACATGTATTACCCCTTCCCACGGAGTTTTCCCATTCTCATATGTGCCCTGAAATGTTGCAGAAAAATTCAGAAAAATAAGAATCCAAATTTAGAAAGCAGATTCAATTTAACAAAATAAGACCAAAATATTAAGAAAACATAAATGAAACAAGGGACAAAGAAGAGTAAGAACCTAGAGTTGTGAGATGGAAAAAAGGAAAAAAGAAGAAAGAACAAAAAGTAACATGATGAATAATGTTTGACCCAAAAGAAGTTCCCATCTTATATCATGTTTTCTTCAAATAAGCAGTGTTCACAGCTAAAACCCTATTCTCAACTTTCTTTGATGAAAAAAAAGGAAAAAGTAAACTTTGTTCAATAAAACTCTCAAAAACAAACACAATAACATTGCACATCAACTTCATGACCTGCCACTATGACTGGATAGACCTATGTCACCACTACACAAACCAGAAGTAGAAAAAAAATAGTTCCTTCCACATTCCAAGTAAAATTCTAAAAAATGATTGTACAAGATTTTTGTAACTGACAGAGTGACAGGTGCTGATAATTTTTATTGCCCAAGACATAAGCCCCTGCCTGCATGTTCCGAACTAACCACAAATAAATAAAACAGGTTCACAAAACAATATTTCTATTATCTGACGTCCAACAGTTGACATCATAAATTTAACAAATCCATTTTGACGATATCATGTCTTATTTTCTACAAACACTCCCATTGAATCTGCGGACAGTGCTGCGTCAACAGTCCTCTCCAAAGCTTCCAATACAAGGTAAATATCCAAACTCCATTTACAAAAGTCAAAATTTCTAAATTTCAAATAATTAAATGGATTTTCATAATCATTCTTTCTAAATCTAATCCTTAGTTCTTCAGCTTCCGGAGAACAACTTCCAAATCCAAGTGTTTACGAGAAACTACCTAGGCCCTCACACCCCAAGAGAAAAAAAGATAAATAAATTCCTTAAACATTCCAAGAACTAATTACCAACAAAGTGTTGCTTCCCCACAATGGAATTATCTCCCTAATTTCTGAGGGAACAAATTACCAACAAAGAACTAAGGTAAGACATATTTCAAACATCTATGCACCATGATTTTCATGTAGACTGTAGTAACACACTGCCGTAACACATTTTAAAGTCAAAACATCAACCAATATATCGATAAACAGCACGAGAGAGAGAGAGAGAGAGAGAGAGAGAGAGATTTGAACTTTATTTGAGGCATAATGTACTTATTTATCAAAAAGAAAAATTGAGGCATAATGTACTCAGTCAAAATTGAAAAAATAATTGATCAAAATATGCTGCATGCAACTGGAATTTTGTTAATACATCAAGCACTTGACAAAGATACAGAAAAAGATATTAATTGGTCATAAGTTAATGATGACACACCTGATTCCCGAGAGAAGGAATTACTTGATGAACAACCCACTGTGAATCAACCACACCAATTTTTTCATGTGCAGGCTGCAGAGAGAAAAAGAGAAAAAGAGACGAAAAAAAAAAAAAAAGAGAAAAAGAGTGATTATAAAAACTGCTAAAGAAAGGTGTTATGCTAATCTAAAAAATGCAGAGCTGTTAATTATTACGGATATAGGGCAGTGGAAACCTCCTTGGCATATTGACATATATATATTTTATGCCGTGTAACAAAGCCAAAGAGATCCCAGAAAGTATATATAAATTAGTTCTTGTTACAAATAATTTTTGAAAAACCAAGCTAATATCTATTGTGCTCTCAATTATGAAAATTCCTTTTCTTTTTTTTTGATAAAAGTCTCAATTATGAAAATTCTTACTTCCTAATGAAAATGAAGAAAATGAATTCCTTTTGAATGGCCCAAAATGGCAAGACAAATATCTTTGTTAAAAGGTAAACACAACCAGACTATTAAAATCATTTGAACATATTTTTCCTAAACATATCCTTCTTCAGGTTTACGCATTCATATACCGTAAATGAGGAAGCTATGATGGATGATAGGAGTAACTAGAGGAGATAAGATCAATAATGAATGAGTGAGGGGAAAACTACGAACATCGCCTATTAGTAATAAATTCAAAAGTAAAATTACGTGGTATGGCCATCTACAACATAGACCCAAAGATGCCCAGTTAGAAGAGGATGAGTTGTGTGACTAGAAGGTAAGCACTAGAGAAGCCAACCCCCTCCATATGGAATAATGGCAAGGATGATGATGATGATCCTTCTTCAGATCCATTGGTTACACAGGTGGTGGCTAACAAAAACATATACAATATATATATATATATATATATATATATATATATGGGGTAAAATGTCTCTCACCATTTCAAGGTACCATCAAAAGCCACATACATAGAAACACAATACCATATATAAATAGTGTAGATAGTTTTGTATTTTGGATTTTGTAAATAGTTTGACATTATAGTATTGCCGTGGGCGTCTTTTGTTCTTTGGGAGCGCTCCCTTCTTGAGCGCCTTTAATGAAAATTTTACTAATAATATATATATATATATATATATATATATATATACATATATGATATATCCAAGCATATGCGTGTACGTCTTTACGTTTATAAATATTTATGTTTCCTATAGAATTTCATAGAGGCAGGTTGTTTGGGTTGTAAACCTGTAGTAAATCAGAAAAGCATATGTACAAACTACAAAATGTTATCATAAGCCTAGGTTTAATGGAATAACATGTTATATCTTCCCCCCATCCCACCCCAAAATTTCCCTATGATATACCCAAGCATTCATATGCATGTATGTCTTTATATGTATAAATATTTACGTTTTCTATAAAATTTTATTTAGTTTTTGGGTTATAAACCTGTAGTATGGGCGGGATTGTATATCAGTGGACTGTCTTTTGGATTTTGTTGATAGCTTGAAACTTTAGTGTTGTCTTGGATGGCAGTTGTTTGGTTTGGGAGCGCTGCCCATTTCAGCGTATTTATAAAATCTTTTCATTATCTATCAAAAATAAATAAATAAACCTGTAGTAAATCAGAAAAAGCAGCCGATTGCCTTAAGCCTAGGTTATATGAAAAAATATGTTACATGTCCCCCCAGGTTGTTTGGGTTACAAACCTGTAGTAATCAGAAGAGCACCCCAATGTCTTGTAGTTTTAGAAACATGATATCATAAGCCCAGGTTCCATGGAAAAATATGTTACATCTCCCATCCCCCCATTTTTTATAATTTATACCTTCCCAATTTTTATCATTTCTCTCTTCCAAGAGAGCTTTTGAACTTCAAACAACCCATCAAACAACTTAAATTTACAGATGCTACAAAATAGTCATAGCTAAACTTAGACTACTAACACTGCCTAAAATTTCATTTTCATACCATATATATATATATATGAAAATAAGGAAACAGCCTCTCCACATAAGGAGGCAAGGCTGCGTACATCTTACCCTCCCTAGACCCTGCAATGGCTGGGCCTCGTGCACTAGGTTTGCCCTTTATATATATATATTCAATAAAACCCATTAACCATATATCAGTAGACTTTTTACTGCTAAAAGTGCCTGAGATTTAATATGAGATTTAATATACAAGCTACCACCTATCAAACACTTTTAAATCTTCAACAAAATATATTTAAAAAAATAACACGTCGTTTTTATTGAATTCTATAGTTTAAAGTTGTGTATCTGTTTGTTTTGGTCAAGTTCTGTAATACTGAATTTTTTTTTTTTTTGGTAAGTTGTAATACTGAAAGACTTTCACAATAGCAAAGACCGATTCCATAACATAATCCCAGTTTCACCCTGCAATTGTGACACCAAACTCGCTAACATATGCAGGCTCCATCATCATAATCAACAACAATAATAATAAAAACCATTTACCTCTACGCATCTTCTGAGGGCAAAATCAATTCCCCAACCATGCACCAAATCATTCTACAAGCATATCATAAAAACACAAAGATTAGGGTGCTAGAATTGGGAAAAACTATCAAATGAGATGAATGTCTGCAACAACAGCTGATCATAAGAGAGCACTTGAAATTAAAAGATGCTAAAATTGAAACACACTCAAATGAGAAGTCCGTAACAACAGCTGATCACAAGAGAGCACTTAGTATTAAAAGGTTCAAGATATTACAAAACATTAATATATATGATTAAGATACACAATCAAGAATACAACATTACCTGAATCATATGCCACACACAACGCCAAGCTTCCCGAGAAAAGACAGGAGCCATTATCTCTACAAATCTGAGTAATTGCAGAAAAAAAGAAACCGAAGTTATCAGGAAGTGTGAAATGCACCCCAATCGTAGATGCAATCAGAATTTTGAGATGGATACACAAGACATCACTTAAATTGTTGATCAATAAATATTTCTAGTTTTTGAAAACTTTGCTAGCCAAAAAATACATTTCTCATTTAGTAATCACATAAAATCACTTATATTTAGCAAAGGGAAACGGGGAAAAAAAAAAAAAAAAAAAAAACACAAACACACACATTTGCTCAACACACCACACACACCCCTCCCTTTTCTTTTTTCCTTCTCTTTAAACAGATGCCAAAAATTCTGTCAATAACATTTAGGAATGATAATGACAAGAATCACATGGGAACACTATGGCCATTACATCTCCCAAGTTTGTTAAGCAAAGTAATTGTTTTAATGATAATGGTAAGAAAATGATATTTTGGTTTATTTCTACTGAAACTAATTGTTCAGTAAGTGATGCAACAGCAGGAGCATCTAATAAAAACAAAACTACTATAAATAGATAAAGGGCCAGAGGGTAAACATGGTGATAAACCTTTTTCAGGGTGCAGCCATAACACAAGGAAAAGACCCACACGACCTTGGATCCTCTTCTAAAGAGCTCTTTTTTATTAATTTGAGTATATTTTTGGAAATTTTCTGAGAGTTCCCTACTTGTACATCCTTTCAAAATCAAAAAATACCATGACACAAACAGCTATTTCAACAAAGTTCTGCTTCTTCCACCAAAACCAAAGTAATCTCATCCAATAGCAATCACATAAAAAGAAGTGAAATCAGCAAAAGCAGAAAAACAATTTATCAAAACATAGGCTTGACCAATGGTAACTTTGACTATTTGTAATTCCAGAGGTTACATGAGATTTAATTAAAAATATTGCATCACAACGGTATATTTAAATTACCACAAGACCCTTGGCCTAGGTGGTATGACCTCCACCTCCCCAAAGGGAAGGTTTGAGGACTCAAGCCCCAAGTGGGGGGCAAAATGGGTGTGTGCATTGCTTACTCACTAAAAAAGAGGGAAAAAAAAAAAAGTTTATTTTCAAGAATTTATAATTGTATATAAGAGATATTATTGCATGATCAGAAAGTCTGCCTTAAAACATATTCCTACCTAAATGCAAAAGATTTTTGTAAAGGTCATAATGAATCTAAGAATGATAGCAGGTGGGTCGTTGCACCAGCCAGGCTGCGGGTTTAAATGGAAATAAAATGTTCAAAGAGAGCCGAACTAACATTTGAACTTATTAAACAAGTTCTAATGCGTGTGTGTGCGTGTGTGTGTGTGAGAGAGAGAGAGAGAGTACGCAGCACATGGAGGCAAATGCGGGTCATTGCACCAGCCAGGCTGCTCTTCTGTATCTCTGTTGCAAAACCAGACATTCAAACATCAAATTGTGCACAGAAAACAATAGCATTGTGTGTGTGTGGAGAGAGAGAGAGAGAGAGAAAGAGAGAGTTAAAATAGAGCCTACTTGTGAACTTCTCTGTCATCTCTCTTCTTTGTCATTTCCCATGTTAATGATTCGTTTGGCTCTAGACCTGGTTGAGAAATTTCCAACCCATGTTTCTTCACTAGTTGAATATATCTGGTGGATTAAACCCAAAATATATATATATTATTAAAATTTAACCAGCAACCATGATTGATAAAATACAAAAGAAGAATAAATACAAAAATAATAAAAATAATAAAAAAAAATACTTCTCAGCATTGAAGTGTTCAACTCCAAGATCTTCATCCCAAATGAAAATGTAATCATAAGCAGCTATGATATCGGGATGCAAAAACCTCTTTGCATACCACCTGCAGAAGATAGGAAGTTATGGAAATAAAAATCAAATGCAAACTTATTGCACCAGCAGGAAAATACATGGCAGCTAAGCATCGCTATAAATCTAACAGAGGATGCACAAGTTATTGAAAAACTTCTTTATTTTGTTCTTTCATTTTCCTTTTTTCTAGCAAAAGAGCCTAATTACATCTCTGTTTTTGAGTGCTCATACAGAAGGTGATAGAGCAGTAGAACCCCAAAACTATGTGAACACAAATGAATCTTACCATTTTGTTTGTTTGCTTGCACTGATGTGGACCGCAGTCTTTGACCACTCAAATTGATCCCATTCACTTGCCTTACCATCATAGTGGAAAAGCAAAATTTGGAAATCCTCAGAAAACTACAAAAAGTGTTTAAGATTATAAAAGTTGGTATTCCTGCAATATCAAAAAAAAGTTATAACTGATGGGATGTCAACTCTTATAACCTTTTTAACTGCTGCATCAATATTACCCTTCTGAGCCAGACCTACTGTGAAGGTTACCAAGTACTTTGGCTTCTTTTCGAAATCCTGAAAGTTCAAAATATTTTTTATTAGGCAAAACCTAGAAAGCTAACCCCCATGCCAAATAAATGGAAGTCTCACAGTAGGAGACAGTATAATTCTAAATTTAATTCTATTTTTCTTATATGGTGGTGCTGGATCCCTGTTGCACTCACCATTTTCTGCATGCTCAAAATGAATGGAGCAATATATTTTCTGACTGAGAATGAGCTTGTCACCTACAATAGTAAACCAATAAATCCACAATCCTGCCTACCAATCCTAAACCATCCACAAATGCATGCATGAAGAAAACAATGAAACCCAACAATAGAACTCAGCGCAAATTAGTCTGAAAAAATCTAAGGCAACCAAATGAAACTAATAACTTTAACCTCCTCAACAAAAACAACTAATTTTTGAAAAATATTTGGGCCAAAAATAGTTAGATACATATGTCATTGCCTTTAGAAATGTAATGACTACTATTATTTACTGATAAAACAGTGAGTCTACTGTAGTGGGATTCTTAAGTGATAATACAACTATCAAATTGATCGTATTTGACTAACAGTTAACAAGAGTTGGTAATTTATTAAGAGTCTCAACTTGTTCCAACCATCCATTGATGGTAAATAACTGCAAGTTCCAGCACCACCACCACGGTTAATTTTTGTAGAACCATTTCAAAAACATACCTCACTTGGTTCACCCCATAATCTTCGCAAATAAAAATCAGACTCGGAGACTACAATTCCTGGAGGTAATGTCTCTGCACCGTGAGGATTCATTGGAACGTATATCTGGGAGAAGAAACAACCATAAACAAATTATGAATTCAAATTAAAATTGAACATGAACTCTTGGGGTGCTGAAAAAAGTAAATTTCTGCAATGCAATCATAACTAGCAACTAAGAATAGATGCAAAAAATCAGTTGATCAAATATCTCCAATCCCAATGTCATGGAGTACTGACGCAAATTATAGAAAATTAATTACTGTCTAATCCAACATACTCATGGAAACTATCGCCTGTGGTTAAGGCGGTATCAGAGGATGGTTTGTCAGAGGAGATTGAGAAGGCTTCTGGTCGGTCTGGGTGCTTTGGGATGTCATAAAGGGATGTGACGAAATCTGTTTCGACTGGGTTTTTGACCGAGGTGATGACTTGAACAGCATGGGGGACTTGGCTCTTTCTCGGACTTCTCTTGTTCTGCTGTGTCTTCTTCTTCTGGCAGGGTTATGGGGAGAGTGCCAGAGGCTCAGAACCGAAGGGAAAAGGGTTCTGTTTTATGCAGGTCTGCTGGGAAGACTGCGATGAGTTCTCAGACTGATGGTGCGGCTGGTTGCACCGAAAAAATGACAGTTTGTGTTGGCAGTGATGTTCGAATCACCCTTAGTGATGAGTCTGCAGCTTTGTTGGTACAAGAACTGAAAAGGCATAGATTTTTTACCGATGCTATGCTAAGCAATGCCCAGAACACTCAGTCTGATAGGTCGGATGGTGGGTGGGATAGCTCTATTGACTGGCCGTCTTGTGATGAGGCTGAGAAGGGGCTGGATTGTGGTGAGGGAAGTACATTGAGGGATCAGAGGGATGGGTTTCTTAATTTAATGTTGTGGAAGGGGGAGGGTCATCCAAACTTGGGTGCGATTGATCCCCTGGCTGTGGTGTGACCGGAAGGAATGGGGACGGGTACTACGGGGAGGGAAAGGTTGACTTAGGCAAGGGGTGGGTGAAGGAGAATATCGGTGCGACAAGTGGGTTGTTGGGTGTCTCTTTTGAGGGTAACAGAGAGAAAGCTTTGTCGATTCACCATGCGATGGCGGAGGGGAGAGATGGGGAGTTGAAGAAGAAGCCTAAAAAGAGGGGTAGGAGAAAGAAGAACCCTCCCTCTTGGAGAAGGGAGACGGAGGTGAGAAATCTCATCTCTTATGTCAATTATGAGGGGAAGGACGGGTAGGTGAGGTAGAGGGGTAGAGGGAGTTGTAAGGGGGAGGGGAATGACATTGTTTCCGCATGAAGCTCCGAATTATATATTGGAATGTCCACGGTCTTAATGATCCAGACAAGAGGACGGTGATGAAGTTGGCGGTGAGGAAGCAGGGGGCTCATGTGGTCTGTTTGGAAGAATCAAAGGTTGCTTCGATGATGGTTAGTCGTCTTTGGGGAGGGAGGTTCATTGGGTGGGAGGCTTTGGATGCTTTGGGGTCTTCCGGGGTCATCCTCATCATGTGGAATAGGAGATGGGTGTCGAGGTGGACATTTGGAAACGGAGGTTCTCTATTTCATGTGCCTTCATGATGGAGGAGGATGGCTTTAGATGGGCCTTCTCCGGGGTTTAAGGGCCCGTGGATGATGGAGAGATACATTTGCTTTGGGAGCAACTTAGTCTAGGGAGGGGGATGTGGTCCCTTCCTTGGTGTATGGGTGGGGACTTCAATGTGGTTAGATCCCCTACAGAAAGATCCACAAGTGGGCAGTGGTCTTTGGCTATGATGCAACTTTCACAGTTTATTGATGGTCATCATCTTAGTGACTTACCGTAGGAGGGGGCGGCCTTCACTTGGTCTAGCAGTACGGAGGGAGTCCCCCCCTCCCCCGGCTGGACAAATTCTTGATTTCTGGGGACTAGGAGGAGAGAAGCCCGGAAGTTGTTCAGGCGGCTTTGGCTAGGGTGACCTCTGATCATATTCCGCTTCTTCCGGATTGTGGTGGTTTGAGATCTAGGAGCACTCCTTTAAGAGTCGAGAATATGTGGCTTAGAGCAGAGGATTTCCAAGGGAGAGTTCGGTCGTGGTGGGAGAGGCCACGGTGATAGGTACCTCGAGTTTTGGTTTGGCTGGGAAGCTTTGGTTCTTAAAGGCTGATCTTAAAAGATGGAATAAAGAGTTGTTTGGGAACTTGTGGTGGAGGAAGAACAGGCCTTTCTGAAATTGCTGAGATTGATCGGTTGGAGGGGATGGGCGGTATTGTAAAGGCTCAGAGACTTCGGAGAGTAGATTGCTAGGCAGAGATTGCTGAGATCGTTGAGATCACTATTTTCGAGGAGATTTTGTGGCGGTAGAAATCTCAAGCTTTATGACTTAAAGAGGGTGACCGCAATACAAGGTTCTTCTATAAGCTTACAAATGCCTACAGGAGGGGCAATCATATTGGGCAGATCCGTGTTGATAGGGTGGAGTCGTCTTGGGAGGAGGAGGTGTGTAGGGGGATTATCTCCTACTACCCAAAGGCTCTACACTGAGTCTTACAGTTGGAGTCCCCGGCTTGACGATCTTTATTTTTATTCGATTTCAACGATGGAAAGGGATGGCTTGAGATTCCTTTCTCCGAGGAGGAAGTGCTGAAGACGCTAAAGAGTTGTAATGGTAATAAAGCTCCGGATCCGGATAGTTTCACTATTAGGTTTTTGTTGGAGAGCTAAGATGTGATTAGGGGTGAGGTGATGGGCACCTTCCATGATTTCCATTCTTGTGGGTGGTTCGAGAAGTTGTTAAATACATTTGTTATTGCCCTCATCCCTAAGAAGGGTGGAGCGTCCGATGTTAAGGACTTTAGACCTATGAGTTTAAAGGGGCTTATTTATAAGCTTATAGCTAAAGTCTTTGCTATTAGATTGAGGGATGTCATGACTCTTGGATGGAGTCGTTTCAGAGTCCCAGAACTCTTTAATTGGCAATCGGCAATTCTGCATTCTGCTCTTATTGCCCGCGAGTGTGTGGATTCCAGGATGAATAGTGGTGTCCATGGACTATAAACTTGATATCGAGAAAACTTATGATGATGTTAGTTGGAGCATCCTGCTGTATTTATTGGAGAGGTTGGGCTTCGGGGAGAGATGGAGGAGATGGAATAAGGTGTGTTTCATCCGTCATATTTTCCATTCTAGTCAACGGGTCCCCATTGGGATTTTTTGGTAGTAAACTGGGCTTGAGACGGGGATCCTCTTTATCAATTAATGTTCATCATTGTTATGGAGACTCTTAGTAGACTAATGAGGAGGGCAGTGGGCTTCATCAGGGGATTCAAGGTGGGTAGAGATGTAGCCCATCAAATGGATATCTCTCACTTGCTGTTTGCGGATGATATCTTGGTCTTATGTGATGCAAATGCAACCCAGAATGTGGGAAACTATGTTACATGGATTCGGGTACGGGTATTGGACTCGGGTATGTATCCATGCGTCGGACGTGTCAAATCTCCAAACAGAAGGATACACGGACACGGCTAAATATGCATTTTATTAATTATTTTATTTTATTTTCTAGAGTAAAGTAATGTTTTATCGAATATAATGTTCAATATACGCATTTAACTCATTTTAAAGTAATAATATAATGAAATTAAATGATTAGATATGCTCTTTAAGTACATGTCCAGCCAAAAGTGCCAGACCCATATCCCATACCCATGTCCGAGAGATATGTGTCCGACACGGGTACTTCACTACTTTTGAAGAGTCCATGTAACAAAGGTGGGAAATAGTGCGCTTGTCCCTATGGGGGAGGTCCAGGATATTGCTTCTTTTGTTGTGATCCATGGGTTTGGGGTTAGCTCTTTTCCAATTTCTTATCTAGGTCTGCCTTTAGGTGCTCCATCGAGGAGGGTGGGTGATGGAGAACGAGTTATGATTTTTATGAATGAACCGCATAAAAATTGGGGATTTGATATAATTAGGTTTATTTTGATTGTTTTTGGTTATTTTTGGTAAGGGTTGAATTTTAAGGTTATTTGGAAATTGGACGATGTTTATGGACTTCTAGCTCTTTTAAATAGACAGGATCCTTAGGACCTTTTCTCTGGCTTTGGCCCTTGTATAGTTTCCAGTATGCATTCCCCTTTTGAAGGCTTTCTAATATACTCTTTCTTATCAGGAGAGAAAAAAGAGAGGGAGGAGGGAGAGAGAAACTGAACTCTCGAATAAAATTGCCGTCATCTCTAAATTTCTTTAGTTTCCAAAATATGGATATAAGCAGAGGAGTTTATGTAGCTGCAATGTTCCATTATTAGAAAAAAAAATTGTCGACGAAGTTTAAGGAATCCATTCTTTCTAACTTTTAAATATAAATTCAATAATCAAAGCCTCATTTGCTGTCACAGGAGAGCCAGAGGATGAGGCAGACAGTAACATCATAAGTGGAAGTGCTCCTATTAGAAAACATCATCTCCCTTAAGCCTAATAAGCCCTGGTAACCCACCACAAATAACAACCAACATTTAGCATGTGTTACTTATCATTGACAACACGACACCATTTTATTGCTCATAAAATGCAAATGCAGAATCCAATATTATATGAAACTAAAAAATCACAACCAATCTATCATTTGCTAGGAAAGAAAGATCCAAATTATCTAAAACCCTAACATAATGAACCAAAAGACTAAGACAAAAGGGTCAAGACAGTCACGTTTTAAGGATTCTGAGAGTGTGTGTGTGTGTGTGTGTGTGTGTGTGTGTGTGTGTAGAGAGAGAGAGATCTTAAATCCTCTAGAAGAATACCATGGGTGTATGAAAAAAAAAAAAAAATTAAAACATGAAAAGCCATCTTTTCTTTTAGTAAAAAATTAAAGCATTAATGTCGATAAAGATATCTTAAATCCTATAGAAGTTGGGACTATATCTACCTTAATGAGGCAAGAGTAGGAAGTTGGATAAGGGGCTACACCTTTTTTTAATATCATATGATTCATTTGTGCAATCATATTATATAAAAAAATAAATAAATATATAAAAACCATAGCCACCATCAGCAAGAATCTTTTTTGATTTGGTCACCATTTTGAGCTTAGGTAATCACTATCAAATTGATATAATGTTAATTATAGATAATCAATGGTCGGTCTTTTTTTTCATTTTTTTGATAAGTAAGAACATATTAGAACACGTTCAAAAGGGGAATGCATCCCAATAACTACACAAAGGCCGATGCCAACGAAAAGGGCAAAGGAACCCAAAAAATCAACAAACTCCTCTATAGATTTACAATTTCTCCCCATCCCCAAACTAGAAAGAGAACTAATAATAAGATATTTCAAAGCAAATGGAAGATTCCTCCCCGTCCAAAGATCTTCTATTCCACTCCTTCCAAACGCACCACCAAACACAAAAGGGTGTCGCCCTCTAAAAATCACAGGCGTGACTCCCACAAAACAGTCTCTCCAGGTGTCAATCAAGCCCCTCGATGATCTTCATACAATAAGTGTGAAAGATATAAAATTATATACAATGACATCTTCTTTTTTGATAAGTAAATAATTCAATAAAAAAGCGTTCAAAAGGGGAACGCGTCCCTAACAAAACTATGTACAATGACATCTTCATAAACAATTGCTCCTACGTAGCTCCTAAACATACAATTGTCAAGTAAATCAAATGTATGTCATGGTATCCAAGGCACTTGTACTACACATTCCAAATTATTTTCTTTTCTTTTTCTTTTTTTTATTTTTAGGTTAAACTAATTCCAATTTGTCAAAGTTCCAAGTTTGGTGCAACTGATTTAATTAAATGGTCAACTTTTTAAAAGTCACTAAAAGTTTCTCAGATTTGATACCTTTTTGATAAATAAGATAACGCGACACACACACATACAAACAAAAAAGCAACAAAGGGATAAGCATATAAACTAAAACTGAATTGTCAAATAAAAAGAAAGATCTACATAAGAATCATGTGACTTTAATGAAGAACTATAAAAATATTTCCCATAATGTATTCAACCCCAATATAGTAATATTCACTTCTTTTGATTGAAACTCTTTTATGTGATTTTACCCAATAGATATAATTTAGATAAACAAATAAAATCACAATTTTATATTAAAAATCAGTTTAATTGATAAATTCAGATTGTTTTCTTATTCAATAACAGTTTATTATATTTTGCTCAGCAAGTAACTCATCGCAAAAGAAGACAAGTAAAAAACAGACGTAAAGTATCATCTGTCATTGTAATGATGGATAACTTTTTAAATGCAGGGAATACAACTTTAGAAGAATAAGTGTCAAAAGAAAAGTACCTTTGGTGTTGTAGAACTGTCCCTCATTGAACTATGATGGTTGTCATTGAAGGCTACATCAAGAGATGATATAAGGCTTGAAGATAAGTTTATCTGCAATATTTCACAATGAATCAAATGAATGATATGTATCTTATGCAACACATGATCATTTAGAAATCATGCTAACATACCTTATTTAAATGAACATACGGAAATGAAACACCAACAAAATATCCAAAGACCATTCCGATAAAAGTGGTGACAATAAGTCTGACACTGCCATTTGATCTTTTAAAAACTCCTCTGAAAACCACCAAGAAAACAGATTGAACGGTTAATCCACATTTTGGTACTCAAGCAACTCTCACGAATTCACTAGAATGTAAAAAAGGAGTCTATACATAAACTTGCGGTGTGAGGTCCCCATCTTGGTAAAGTCACTCAACTCAAAAGGTCATGCGCTGGGCAAAACCAATTCTTTGAGCGACTTTGATGCGCTTACATCATTCTCCAGCTTAGGTAAAGTGAATGTGACGATCCCAAAAAGTACAGCTCCTGTTAAATGCACAATTAAAATTTCATCTGTAATAAAAAAACAAATCATAAGACAATTCGGTCTGATCACATTAGGTGGTCATTAAATATGATATTCATAGTTTAAAACCTTTAGATTTACATAATTCCGACCCTCATAAATAAGTGATAAATTAGTATTAAGTGGCTGAAAATATGGATTTACAGAACCTATGATGCAGGGATGCCGGTAAGGATATAGATAAGAGATATAAGTACGATGATACAACAATATATATACATGACAATACATGTATTTTATAAGCCGTATGTACAATTGTACAAATGTTAAAATATATGTATATATGTATGAATCCAATATGATTTATGTTCGTCATGTGATATGCATATATCATGACCAATGAAGCACGGTCATGGATGTCAATACAATAATATGTATGAATGTGTTTATGTGGATATGCAAAAATATATATATAAAAATTCATATATATAAGTATATAAATATTTTAAAAAATACTATTTTTGGCATGTTATATAACTATATAAACATAGTGCTTATATAGATCTATTAATATTTAGTATTTCTACCTACATTATAATTACATGAAAAAACTAGTAATTACAATCGCACACATTGACTCTAGACTAAATTAGACATGATAAATTCTCACTAATTTCCTTTTCTTTTAAAAAGTTCTAATGTTGAAATTCTTGTTACGCTTTTCCTAAAAATTATAGTATGATACATGCTAGAAATGCTGCAGTTTCATGGTCAAGTATCGGACATACATCACACGGTAACTTGAGATGTATCAATTACATTTTTTAAATTAAAAAATAAAAAATATATATATGTTCAAGAAGTATCAAACATATGTCCGCCAGTATTCAAGGAGTATCATGATCCGATACAAATACGAGCCCTCATAAAATTATGCATGCTTCGTAGATTATGATTAACATTCCCAAATGACAAACAAGTAATACAAATATTCAATATTTTAAAAGTATAATAGTAAATATCACATGAAACAGCTGAGGATTTTGTTAATTATTACGTGGACGTGGACGTGGACGTGGACTTTGAACTATAGTAGACACTACATATAATTATCCTATATCAATTCTTCTTCTATATGAAGTCCAAGTAATTGAGAAAAAAAATAATAATAAGCTTTCCCTTACAATTATACTACTCCCTCTGTCCCATATTAGTTGTCCCTTTAGGCAGGAGAACTTTCTAAAAGAACATGCAATTATTGCACTGTCACCTTTTAAAATTACCAAGTTGTCCTTTCAAGTTTAAATATGTATATTACTAAGTTGAGAGATTTTTTTAAAATATATAGGGTAATCATGGAAAGAAACAATTTATTTTGCCGTGACTTTTCAAAGGGGACATCTAATTTGGGACAAACCTAAAAGGAAAGATGGATTACTAATATGTGGGACAAAGGGAGTATATGATATACACTAAAAATGATATATTTTAATATTCAAGACAAAGGTACGACTCCCTTACAAAAATTTGGGATACTTCATATTACAAAACAACTTAAGTGAACATATATGATCTTTTTAGTTATAAGTTCTCTCTTCCTTTAATCTTTGGCTTCCCAAAAAAGTGAGATAATGCACCCACAACATCATAGATGCATGAAAAAGGAAGGGGGGGAAATGAAAGCCGACAGCCAATAAGTTTCTGCAAATGGGGAAAAGAAAAACAAAAAACAAAAAAAGGTTTTTATGTTGCTGTAATCCAAACTAAATCAGTTAAATTCTTGATCTGTGTTGGGAGTGACAAATACCACAAACAGATAACATATAAACTTCTTAATATATATATATATATATATATGAGGTAACAAGTCAGATGATCACAATATAGTAGAATGGTGATTAAACTATACTGTGAATCATTATGAAAATGAAGCCCGAAGAAACCAGAAATGGCGAAAATTGTAATGCTAATGAAACTCAAGCTTTACAAAATTTGGACCACCGGGCAATTAATCTGGTTGGTACAACCTTTCCTCCTACAAAGGGGAGGTGAGGGGTTCAAGTCTCATAGTGGGCAATTGTGGGGATGAGTATTTACCAAAAAAAAATTGGACTGAAATTAACAGAAGAAGAAGAAGATTTTTCGCTGTTTTATGGATTTTATTATGAAGTTACAGTAACTTTATGCCAACGCTCATCCACTGGTAAAAAAAAAAAAATTTCTTTTTTTTTTTTTCAGGGTAAGTAAAGTATCATTACTCATAAAGTACTGTAGTTTATTAAGATATATATATATATATATATAAAGCCCCTCTGGCAAGAATAAAGCAAATACACAATGATGTATACCAACATATCTCTATTCTTCTATTCTTGAAAAATCACATGACATAACATCATATACTCCACAATGTAAAGAAAGAAACGTCATACAGACCATGTGCTTGATTTGAGCACACATAATAATTAACAAAGAATAAAAATAAAAGTAAGTGAAGCTATTCTCATCATGTCTTTCCTCAATAGGAAGAGATTTCAACAAATTAAATTCTCAGAGTTGCAGTTCATCAGCTTTTGCAGAGCCCTAAAAACCTCATCTCTAATTAGTCCAGGCCCCCTATGATAAACTCTTTCATCACTTCCACTTATTGAAGGCTCTTTCACTATATGCTTCAAATGATACTATGGGTGCGTTCACTAACCAGAAATCACATGACTTAACAAAGCTATTTCCTTTGTTTTCTCACTGTAGTGGCCTAAACATTTTCATCACTGTAGCAGGCCACTTTTTGGAAATGACTTGTTTGCTTGGTTTTTTTTTTATAAAGGGCAAAGTTAAATGTATAAATAATATAAGAATATGTACATGCTGAATTTTTTCGAGAAGATATAAATCCAATAGAAGTTTTTTCAAGAAGATAAAAATCCAATAGAATTTTTTTTGTCTCATCTTAACTGAATTGAACTAATAAACAGTTGAAATTAAGAATAAAATCAAAGACTTCAAAAAATGATTAAAAAAAACAAAGTAATGTGCCAACCATATCAATGTATAGTAAATCAATTTTAATTCCCAAAAATGAAAAGCATGAAATAATATTTTAATTCTCATTGATAACAATATTTTATCAAAAATTGAATGGATCGTCAAAAGCTTCTAAAATCGAAATATTAATTTATACTAGGATTTTTTTGTTAATATCAATTTAGTAAACTTGAAATAGGTAGAAAAGTGGATTAGGAAACTCTAAATGGGTAGAAAAATGGTTTTGCTGGATTAGGAAGGTAGAAAGGTAGATTTGTAATATCACCGTTGGATTTAATCCAATGGTAGATGTGTAGAAAATTTCTTGCTTCACGGTGAGCAAGAGATCACTATTCTATAGTTACTCAAAACCACTTGCATTTTATTTGATGAATATGAAAATGAGAAAGTCAGACTTGAAGAAGGAGTTCGTGATTCAATCACAAATTATGACTTTAAATTCAATATATTTTATGTTCATGTAAATGGTATTCTTAGAATGTGTTACTTTAAATTTGATGTTGTATCAAAAAAAAAAAAAAAAATTGATGTTGTATTTTTTTTCTTGAATGTATTTCATATATCTACTCCAAATTCTTTTTTTTTTTTTTTTTTTATAGGTAAATAAGGGAATTTCATTAAAATAAAAGCGCTCTATAAAAGGTGAGCGAACCCTTAACAAGTAAAAAAGAAATATCTACTCCAAATTCTGCAAATTAAGTAAACCATGTACTGTTAGGATTTGCAGGTAAGTTTTTAATAGATAAATCCAAAATATAATAGGAAACAACAAATGTTTAATAAATGTTATACTAAACGGTGTTTTCAGTTTTTGATTTCAAAATTGTGACAACAAAATGATTTTAATAAACACCATTTCTGTTTTTTATTGTCACTCATAAAAAACAAAATTATATTTCTATTTCTTGCCGAAGCAAAAATAGAAAATGTTTCACGTTAGTGAACACAGCCTAATGTCATGTTCCGATTCCTAACGACGCCATGAGCATAGAAGACACGCATGCTGGTTGGCTAAGAACATTCATGGACTGGGAATAGTTCCAGGGAAGGGGCGTGCAGGACCACAAGATAGTACCTCTTCAGAGTTCAGGCAGGTCGACTCGGTTCAGTTCGAGGTGCTTGTCGCTAGTCATGGATTTGACTATGAAGAAGGGAGTTGGCCATCCCTGTACAAACTGGTCGGGAGCTGGAGCCGTTCCCCTGATGAGACCAAGGCAGGTCGAAATCAGTCAGCATGTATCCTTGAGAGGGCAGGTCGTAGTGGCTGACCAGGGTGCTTGCGTGAGCTGAAGCAACGCCTTGATGCCGCACGGGCCGTGCCGCTGCGCCAAATCTCTAGGTCCGTGACAAATGGTATCAGAGCAGGACTTGGGACAAAGCACAAAGGGGTGCCCCCTTGTCGATTCGAGGGTCTTGAGAATGAAGTGGGTGCACTAAAGCATCGATGGGCAATCAATGTTGTTGGAGAAGAGCCTCCATCTCCCCAGGAAGACGCGTCCTTTGAAGCTGGAGGGCCGGGTGCATCGGATGACCGAAGGGCCGCGCACACCAAAGTTCTTGCAAGTTCAAGAGGCATGCAAACCGTTGTGAAGGGCGGGTATCAAGTCAGCCGGAGGGCCCTTGTTTGCTCGGGGTGTCGCAGAGGCGGCATAACGTGGGTTGCGTCCCGAAGAAGTGGGCGCCCTTTAGCCCGAAACCCTATCATTAGGCGATTGCAGCCAGGGGTTTTACAAGGAAGCGATGGTGGGCAGGCGAGCATACCACTTGGAGGAGAGAGACTTTGGAATGTTGGACGCAGTGGAGTAAGCGCCGCACTGCGACGAGGGCGTCGCAGGATTTGGGTGGGGGAGAATGTCACGTTCCGATTCCTAACGACGCCATGAGCATAGAAGACACGCATGCTGGTTGGCTAAGAACATTCATTGACTGGGAATGGTTCCAGGGAAGGGGCGTGCAAGACCACAAGATGGTACATCTTCAAAGTTCAGGCAGATCGACTCGGTTCAGTTCGAGGTGCTTGTCGCTAGTCATGGACTTGACTATGAAGAAGGGAGTTGGCCATCCCTGCACAAACTGGTCGGGAGCTGGAGCCGTTCCCCTGATGAGACCAAGGCAGGTCGAAACCAGTCAGCATGTATCCTTGAGAGGGCAGGTCGCGGTGGCTGACCAGGGTGCTTGCGTGAGCTGAAGCAACGCCTTGGTGCCGCACAGGCCGTGCCGCTGCGCCAAATCTCTAGGTCCGTGACACTAAGCTCAGGTAATCCCAATTTCTATTTCTTGTTTCTAGTTTCCAAAAAGCCAAAGACAGAAATAGGTAAGATAAACATATTTGGTAACATTATTTTTATTTTTTTAATTTGCGAACGTGTTCCTCTAAAGCCCAATTTTTAGGAACAAAAAAAAGTTGTTTCCACTTGTTTCTAACCAAATCACGGGAAACATATTCCCAACTTATAACGAGACCCCGATCAGAAGCAATCTTTCAATCACTCACGCTTCTTCATCATTCACGCTCTCTTCTGGTTTACGTAGCTAGGACCAATCGTTCGTCTCTCTTCTTGTTCACGCTAATTGCGAGTTCGTCTCTCTTCTTGTTCACGCTTAGTTGCGCGTTTGTCTCTCTCACCCTTAATGTCTTCAATGTTTTTTATTCTCTATTTTTCATTGAGATTGAAACCCTATAGATTGGGCCAAATCAAAACCCTAGAGAAAACTTCTTGGGCTAATTAAATATATACATATATATAACTAACAGTAATTGATATATATTTTTCTTGGGTCATTAAGAATTAAGATTCTTGCCAAACATCTTTATTTTCGTGCACTTGGAAAGTAAAGATGTCTTCCTGGTTTTACCCCATTCTCTCATTTGGGAGCCACTCTTGGGTCCATGTCTAGAAGATAGGAATTGAATGATAATATATGTCAAGACACAGAAAGGTCGTCAACGTGATGCATATAACATATGTGGGTGAAGAGTTAGTCTTGACCCAACCCATATTGTTTACTTTAGACCACAAACTCATCTGGAATTGAATTTCTTTCAAAAAGCTAAATGAGCATTACCAAACATGATTCTTGTTTCTTGTTTACAAAATTTAAGGAACAAATGAAGATTCTGGTTTTAGCAGAAATGGCTAGAAACAGAAACGCTTGGAAATAGAAATAGGAAATGAGGAACACATAAACGTTACCAAATGAGCCCTAATTTTTATTTTTATTTTGGATAAGTAAACTTAGAATACTCATAAAGTACTGTAGTCACATATATATATATATAGATATCTATACCAACATATCTCTAGTCTTCTATTCTCAAAAATCACATGGCATTACATCATATAGTCCACAACGTTAAGAAAGAAACATCATAGCAGACCATGTGCTTGATTTGAGCATAATAAAGCATAACAACTAACAAAGAATAGAAATAAAAGTAAACGAAGCTATTCTCATCATGTTTTTCCTCAACAGAAAGAGCTTTAAACAAATTAAACTCCTCTGAGTTGCAGCTCATCAGCTTTTGCAGAGCCCTAAAGACCTCATCTCTAATTAGTCCAGGCCCCCTAAGATAAGCTCTTTCATCAACTCCACTTATTGAAGATTCTTTCACCATATGCTTCAGATGATACTAAGCACCAGTAATCCCTATATGATACAAAAAATAATAACTTCCCTTTCTTCCTCTCATGTTTCTATACTCTCTATTATTATTTTCAAAAAGTAAATTAGAAAAAAAAAAAATCAGTCACAAACATTGCAATGAGATCAAAGAATTAAATGAATAGACAAAAATTTAAATAACTATCTAACTAAAAATTCTTAAAGGCGACCTTGCTATCTTCTTAATACATGACATTCCACAAAATCTAGAACAATAAAATGAGAAGAAGGAAGATCTTTTAGTCTTACCTAGTCGGAAAATACAATCCAATCAGATTATTGTTAGTTCACCTAAACAAAACTTCTATAAGTTTTTTCCCAAGAATTATCAATGCTGCATCTGAGATGGGTATCAAAAAAAATAAAATAAAATAAGCTTACTAAAATATAAAAAGCCAACAGAAACCTATTTATAAAAAGAAACAAATAAAGGGTTAATTTCACTAATATCCCCTTAGGTTTGGCCATTTTTCACCCTCAAACATCTTTGGAAAATAACTATCACTTAGGTCCATTTTACCTTTTCCGTTACAGTTTCCGTTAATAGCATAGGAAAATACAACTTTGCCCCCTATTTTTTAATCTCAATTTATTCCAAAATATCATCTTACTCAAATGACTCTTATACCCCTCATTATCATACCCACCTATCACCACTACTCCGCCCATACACACCCTTTCTTTCTCTCTCCTCTAATACATTATTGGCTGCATCTCGATTTTCAGATCAACACCCTCTCTTCTCTACAGATCAACACCGCCATGTCTCTACAGATCAACGCCGCCGTGAAACCCTTAGATCCATAGTTCCAGAGTCCATCCGCATACATCACCAATCAAACCCATATGCCTTCCATCCAACTTCGTATCGATGAAGGCCATTTCAGGCCTTTTCAGAGACGTTTCTTCATCGATTAAGCCTATTTCAACCTTAATAAGGAAGGTTTGATATTGTGAACAGAGGCAAGGAAGGTGCTGTCAACAGAGGCTAGGACGTTGTTTGTGTTTGCATGTTATTGTTATAGTCTTTGCATCATTGGCAACCCACTTCACCACATTCCTCTTCCTCTGCCCGTTGGGCATTTGCCAGCTCCTCTGCACTTCCTCTTTCTACCTCAAAAACCCATCTCTCTACAGATGAATGTAAGGCGAATTGACCCTTGTTTGTAGGGGTGGCAATTCGTATTCGTGGGTCATGTTCGTGTCGTGTCGATGTAAGGATATTATACTAAATAGGTAAACCCAAACCCAATCCATTTAATAATCGTGTCAAGAATCTCAACACTAACCTAGCCCGTTTATTAAACAGGTAATCGTGTTAACCCGTTTAATGACCTGTTTATTAAAACGAGACATTTAATATTATCAAATACTAAATAATAGAAAAAAATTATCATAATTAACCCAAATATTCAAAATAAAAAGAAAAATCATAAGGCATAGATAAGGTTTATGTTGAAATGACTTAACTATCCATAGTAATTGGGTTTAAACTGGTAACATATTACATGATTCATATTCATGATTATAACATGTTGAGTTAAATAGGTCATAAACGGGTTACACGGGTTGAACCCCTCAATCCTAACCCGACAAGGTTAAGTAAACGGGTTAATCGTGTCGACCCTTTTATGACCCAAACCCGTTTATGCCAAACCCAAACCCTTTTAACTCGTGTCGTGTCATAATTTGCCACCCCTACTTGTTTGTGCCACTTGTTTATATCTGTCAATTAGGCCATCAGCCTTTTTCGCGAGTTTTTGCTGGATTAGGGTTTTTTTTTTTTTTTCCTAGTTTATTAGGGTTAATTAACCCTAATTAGGTTATTTAATGGGTTAATTGATCTGGATTTTTTTTCCTGGATTAGGGTTAATTAATCATAATTTTCAATCTGTTAACCGGATTTTTTTTCCTGGATTAAGATGCTTTCAGATTTATATGTAATGACTTTATTGGGATATTTTTTCACATTTATGGGCTTTAGCAATTGCAGGCTTAAAAATAAATTTGTAATTACATGTTAAAAATATTATTACAATTCACTTGCATTTTTACACTTCAAATCAGCAATTACAAAGGAATTACCAATTACACAGCAACATTTTTACTCTTCAATTACGCTAATGAGGCTACTTTCCTTAATTAATTCTAATGGAACAATAAGGGAAAATAATGTCAAATTCCAAAAAAAAAAAAAATTAAGGGTAAAAGTGTCAGTTTAATAATTAAACTACACTTTATTTAGTCAAATCGAAGTCAAAGGGTAAATATGTCTCTTTATATGAAAAAAGTTGTCTAACACCTCTAAAAAGTAGCGGTTGGGGTGTGAGTGAAAAACGGAGCAAAAGTTTGTAATGCAAGTGATAGTTATTTTCAAAAAATGTTTGAGGGTGATATTTGGCCCAACCTGAGGGGGTGTCGTTGAAATTATCCCATAAATAAAAGCCAACAGAAACCTGCACTATATGTAAAGTAGGTACCAAACAAATACCCATGAAAGATGAGTAATATGTGAAATGCGCATCAACTGAGCTAGGTACATTCGCTAAAACTATATCAATACTGAGCCAGGATTATTCTTTATCCTCCCAACCATACGACATGTATGTGCATGGCAAGTAGAACCCCACATCAAGCTTTGTGTTTATTTGCTTACCACAACGAGTGACAGATTTGTCATCATCAATGTCACAGTCAGTTATCAATCAATATAAAGCAAAATAAATGGAAAACGATGATAAATGCATTGAATGAACTTCATCAAAAATAGACCACTGCATGAAACCCGGATCATGGCTAGATTGTGTGTAAAAATACTAGAGTTGATACATACATAGAAAGCAGTGACAGTCCAGCAGAGGTGACCTCACAAGCTTGGTCTGAACCGTGATGTTTCCAAGGATATACTTGCTTTTGAATGAAAACCCCAGCACCTGATATCACATAAACATATTTATTACAGAATAAAATTATTACATATACACACACGTATATAAGAATGAAATAGTCAGAAGGAGCTTAAGCATTTAAGTAACGTGAACAAATGAATCGCTAAAGCATAAGGTATAATAAGTAGTATAGTGGAAAAATCAGTAAAAGAAAAATAAGATGCAGTGAACAAGTGATGATACAACAGAAAGAGTGAACCCAAGGACCCAAATACCCAATACAGTTTATTACAATCTTAATTACCAATAAGAAAAAAAAAAAAAAAAATACCCAATACTGAAATTCATTCTTTAACTAACAAAAGAATGTATGCACATTACCAGAATAGCTATCTAATTAAATCAAAAATAGTTTCGCTGTCCGTGCTGATGCAGAGCATATCTAAAAGATCTTTTCCAAGTGTAGAGCATATTTACCTGACTAGTGACTAAGAAGCTAACTTTCATGAAATTACTCAAATGACTATGAATTTCATGAATGCTCCAACAATTTAAGTTGTTTGTGTTCATATATATATGGGTTAATTGCAAAAAAAACAACCCTAGCCCCCCTGAAATAATATTTGCCCTCCTGAATTAAAATCTTGCAAACAATGCCAGCTATGTAACTTCCATCACTCTGCCATTAAGTTTATAGTTAAATTACATTTAACCCATGAATATATTATTCGAGAATTTAATAACATATTACTATATCAATGTTTTGGAGTTCGGACAACGTCATTCATAGCTATGGCTTTACTACCAACATAGTTACATTGTTGTTTCTCACCCTATCTCTCCCTCATGCTCGTGCCTCCCTTTCTGCTGTCCTGTTGGCTGCCTCTCTCTCCCACCGCTGGCCTAATTTCAAGTGTAGAGACTAGATATTCTATAAAACAAATGTCTTTGTACAGCCAATAAGAAATTGACCTCTCATTAAACTAATATCTTAAAATGACACTCTTTAAAACAAATCAAATACCTTGAGGCAGTACCGCAAGAGAACTATTCAAATCCAACCAATTCCCCTAAAAGGATAACAAACTCATAGCCAAATCAAGCCTAAATAAAGCTTTCATCAGTTTGAATATTAATGAGGAACAAGAAGAAAGAAAATAAGTTGTGCCTGATTCTACTCTAGAATGTGAGGTGAGGTACCACTACCTTCATTCCCATCACCCTTCTTACTCTCTCTCTCTCTCTCTGTATACACGTGTGTATCATCAAGACATGAATCAGTTATCCTATCATCTTTACTTTATATATTGGATTTATTAACAAGAAAAAATTAAGATAATTATACTCATTCAGTGAACATAAGAAATTGAAGATGAACTGAATAAAAGATTCAATACAGAGCACCACAGGAAACTCAATCCACGTAAATACATTTATATACGAGACATGAAACAAAATTCATAGTTTCAGATAACGAAAGCACAGGATTTATGTTTTTGTTCATAAGGTGTGCCCTCCAAGTCCACCGCGGAGAAAACCCAAACGATGAAATTGAAGCCAGATAGACCCAAAAGATGTTCACCTGAGAGACCTCTTCGATCACCGACGAGAAAGAGAGACCACAACCCAGTAATTGAAGGTTCTTCGATCACCCAAGTCCACAGCGGAGGGAGTTCTTCAATCAACCAAGGCCTCTTTGATCTCCAATGGAGGCCGTTGGGGAGAGAGAACAGACCGACAGAGATGAGATAGCCGTTGCGTGAGAAATAGATATGAGAAGCAAGTTGCGGGAGGGAGAGAGAGAGAGAGACGTTGCCGGAGAGAAAGACGCTGCTGCCTTTCAGGGCTTAGTTAGACGTTGCGTGTGAGAGAGCAAGGGGGACAGAGAGAGGGAGAGAGATGGGGGTATGTTGCAACTCGCAATAACAGTTATAGTTTAAGGGTGTGACATGCTGTATATTCAGTTGGGAAAATTGCGAATATTTTATATTAGAGAGAGGTTTTTGCAAATAAAACTATATACACATATACATATATATATATTGATATACTACGTATTATACAGAAATATATATATAGATATACTACGTATTATACAGATATATAGAGAGAGAGAGAAGGAGAAGGAGCTTGGATTGAACAGGTGCAGAAAGTCGTACACAAGCATGAGTATACAAATCAAATCAACAAAGTGTTTACACTTTATACTCAAATTGAAATTCATTTCGGAGAAAACCTCAATGTAAAATTTGTTTATTATACATATGTATATATATATATATATATTCGCGCAGGTAGGAGAGAGTGGGGTGTGTACAATAGAGATCTGTAGCTGAAATTTTGGGGCAAACTCGTGAGGTCAGTGGGCCAAATTAGGGTTAAGGTTCGAATTTCGATTAAACACAGTAAACGTATGGTTAGAGGAAGATAGATTTAGAGAGAGAAAGAGAGAGAGTCATACCTACAGAGAGACTGTTGCAGCTGAGAGGTTACAAATTGAATCCTCGTCTTCAAAGCTCGAAGCGTTTCATAGAACTGAGAGAGAGAGGAGAGACAAACGGAGAGAGCATCAATTTGTGGTTTTGTTTATGTTTTATCAAAAACAAGAAGAAAAAAAGAATAAGCATCTTTTTTTATGAAAATGCTCTCATGACGGCATTTTTGTTTGGTGTGTGGTATGGAGAGTGAAACATTGGTGCATATTTTGTGTAAGTGCTCAATTTGCATTGTGGATTTGCCCAATTGAAATCCATCTGCTTGGGTTTCTTGATGATCTCAACTTTGTTTTGAATTGGAAGAGACTTCAGGTTGTGGTCAATATTGTGGTTTTGAAGCTTATCTACGTTGGCAGCTATGGAGGACCAGAAAATGACTTATGTTTTTAATGGATGGAGATGGAAAGCTAAGATGTGTGTAGAGCCAAGTCAAGGCCATGCTTGGATTGCATTTCATAGAACAGCTCTCAAGAACAGTTCTGGAGAACAATTTTCAGAGAGCGATTTTTAGTTTTTTCAGATTGCAAACTTGGTTAAGAGAATTTACAAAACAGTTTTTGAAAAATAAAAACTCCTAAAACTACTTGATTGTATGAGTTTTTAAAAATAATTTTCTGAATTAAGAAAATAAATAAAAATACTATTGTACCTTATTTTTTTTATTTCTTTAATTTATGATATTAACTATTAATGCAAAAAGGTGTTGGAGGTAAATTCATTTTAACTAGTATTCTTAACTTAATAACAGTTACACAAATAAATATATCAAGTTTAATTACAATCCTCTTTCAACTCCAAAATGGAGGTTCTGTTTGGTGCTTGTATTTTGTTTCCCCTTCATGGGACTCCATGTACATTCTTCCTAAATTTAAATACAATAAAAGAGTTACATGAAACATTATAAATTAACATGAAACATTATAAATTAAACATAATAAAAGGTACACCAAAACAAAGTTTTCATAACATAAAACATAATAAATTGTCCCCCACACAAATATAACATAAAGTCACATGCATAGAAAAAAAAAAAAAAAAAAGAGTAAGGCATAAGGAAATTGTTCAATAACACATAAAACCAAATATGTGTTTCAAGTCACATGCAACCAAAAACTAAACACTGTATTCAGTAACCACCCAAGTCAGTCCAAGCTCTTCAACCAAGCAAACTTCAAGTCAGTCCAAGCTCTTCAACCAAGCAAACTTCCTGGAAATACTCATCTTAATGAACAATTCTCTGTAGTGCAATTCTTTGAACGTTTCAGTTGCCTTCAAATATGTGTCATCATCTATCTCATCAAGACCCTCAAGGCATTCAATACAATTACTTAGAGAGTATGCGTCTGGGCTAGTTGCCTTTTGAGTATGTTTCATTTTCTTATACCTCTCCGCCTTAGCTAATGAAGTTTTAATCCTTGCTTTGGAAGCTTCAACAATATAACCAAGAGTATCACTAATTGAATCTTTTTTACTCACCTTTTTTGCACGATGATCAGAGGATGTGGATTCACGACGACGAGGGTTATTGTCTTCAACTAGAATATTATCTAAATCATCTTGACATTCAGCAGTTGAACTAACATGGACACCTGTATTCATAAATTGATCCTCCTGCTCTTGTTCTTCGTCTGTATTAGGTGGATCTTGAGTGGATGCATAGTGAAGTTGCCCAGTAGCAGTCGACGTATTAAAAAGAACTCCCAAAAGTTTGTAATTTTCACAACTTTTTTTGCGAAAACACTTAGCATTGGGATAAGCCTGAAAAATATATATATATATATATAAAGATTGTTAGGAATAAGCATGTTTAAAAATTAAACGAACTATTGTAAAATAATTAATTAAATACATATTTTACCCGCAAATATGTTTGCCAAGTTTCTTCATCAGCAATCACAGTGTTTGTTTCCGCATCCCAACCAAACCCAGTTGTCTCGTTTAGAAGAGTTGAAAACTCATGATGCTTTGTACGTAATCGATTAAATTTTGCCTTTAGTTGCTTCACATTATAAGCATGATTAGTCTTGTTTTTGAACTCCTCCGCAATCTTTTTCCAACACTTGGAAGTAAATATCCCAGATGGCATGTTCCCCTTGTTAACCTCCTCAACCATTATATCAACAAAACATCTCTCTAATTGTGTAGACCACAGAGCTGACTCCTCAATATCAACAATTTGAGATGCCATCCTTTATTTGTGCATTAAGCAAAGAATTACAAGCAATAAAATGAATTACAAGCAAAGAATTAGGCAGTGACATCAACTTAGAGAAATAAATAGATCAGGTTAACAGTGATATGAATTGTTGGTTTTGTTTGCTGAACAGGATTGTAAATGTCTCCAATCAATTGTACTATAGGTCTACTGGTTTGCGGCTTCTAAAGTAGTCTCAAGTCTTAACCTTCATACAATTCCAACTTTAGTTGGTCTCTAAACAAAAATCTTCTAAGTAGCAATATGTCAGTTTTGTATCTTAGAATGCCAAAGTCAAAACAAGTGACCTCAGTAAATAAATTTAGTAGAAATTACATAACAAAACAACCATTTTTAAATTAATATTATTGCCATAAGTTTCTCCAAACAATGAATCATGCCCAGTGATTTACCTAGCAGGTTAGTGTCTAACTGACCATTTTCCCGAACCCAGCATGATCAAGACAAGCTAATTAGCTCAAATTCTTTTGTGGATTAAGACATCATTCAACTTTTTCACTATATCTTTTGCTCTCTTTTTTTCCTTCCAAAAAAACAGCAAATAATGATTCAATAGAAGTTCTTGGAGAAGATGTTGGCACACAATCAGAGAAACCCACAAAAATTATTGATATTCTAGTGTGTGTGTATATATATATATATATATTCAAGTGTAGGGCATGTCAATGGAATTTGAACTGAAATTGGATGTTTGAGAAGAAAGTGACAATTGCAAAAAGGTGTTTCAACTGTGTGCGTGTATATATATAGTGTGTGTGTGTGTGACAATTGCAAGAAGCTACAGAGTGTGTGACAATTGCAAGAAGCTACAGAGCTTGAAAAGCAACATACCACTAAGACAGAAAAGTGAATCTACTCCAAACAATCACTAGCTTTTTCAAAGAAATTGGCTTCTACTATTTAAGTGCATTACCCAATGTATGCTCCATCCAAACATGATTTTGGAGAGGAAATTAGCTAAGGTAGTGCCTATATATATATATATATATATATATATATATATATGTGAGGCATTTCTACAATCTTATCTAAGGTATGTTTGTTAGGGCTCTTTCAAAATGAGTTAAGCCCAAGCACCCACAAGACATAAGTTGGAACATTGTCTGAACTTTTTTAAGTTTAGAGCACTTATATGTTTTCAACCCAACATATTCTTCTATTTCTAATTACTGATTCTTTACTAATAATAAACCATGAATTCCATATTAAATTATCGATTTCCAATTCCAAGATGGAGATTCTTGATTAAATATCTATATAAAAATAGGGTTTAGACCCTAACATAGAGCTTCTCAACTTCCCTCTAATTTCACTCTCCATAACTTTAATTATCACGATTGTTAGAAAACAATAAAGAATATGTTCTTCTTTCTATTAAAATACAAAAATTCAATTATTTTTGGTTCACAGTTCACACACACATATATATCTTTTTTAAAGTTTTGGTATGCGTATTAGTTTCTTGATTGGTTGATACAACTGGATCATTCTTCATAAATCATCTCTATGATTATCGGAACTGATGATCTTTATCAAAGATTTAAGAGAGCTAAATTTAAAATTTGATTATGTCATTCCCTTCACTGTGCTTGTTCATAATGAGAAGCTTAGTAAGAATTCTACAATGCCTTGTTTAAATCTCACCAAGTATATGAACTAAAACTATTGCTTAAAACACAGAGATTCACTATGCGTGTTCTGTTCGGATTGTTTATTCTCAGATTTCATTACATTCAGGAACTTTGCGCACACACAAACACATATATTGGGATTGTTTATTCAATTATATATATTTTGTTGTTGTTTAAAAATAGATAGTAAAACATTTATTATATTATAAATGTTATCTCTCTTCTTCTTGAATCTGAAAATTGCATTTTAGAATTCGGATTGTTCTTCCTTAGGGACTGTTTGTTTGAGGGAGTGGAAATTGAGGCAAAGGGGACCATATATATATATATATATATATATATATATATATATATATATAGACAAATATATACATACACATATCAAATCCCTATATTGAAAACCAAATCCCTAACCTGAAAACCCCAAATCCCTAAACTGAAAATGAAATCCACAACAAAACTCACACAACCAACAAAATCCATCAATATTTCCCAAAACAAATTAGAAATAAAATTAAAATAACAGCTTCTCAATAATCACGAATTTGAATTAACATAATGGATAAAAACTGAAATAAGGTTTTAGAAACTTAATGCACAAAATACCAATACAAATGCAAAGAAAGACTGAGAGAAAGAGATTGAAGGATTACCTGAAGAAAGAGAACTTGAAGAACTAGATCCACCCTTCTCTTTGTGTAAATAACGATCTTCAAAAGCCATCTCTACCTTCTCTTAGTTGCAGAGAGGTTAAAGAGAGAGAAGATACCGTTGCAGAGAGGTTTAAGAGAGAGAAGATGGGTTGCAGAGAGGTTGAAGTGAGAGAAGATGGATGCGTTGCAGAGCTTCTGTTCTGAACAAGATCAGGCAGAGAGGTTGCAAAGAGAGAAGATGTTGCAGAGAGGTTGAAGAGAGAGAAGATGGATGCTGCGTTATAAACGACGCGAGGGTAGCGTCGGTTTTTTAAGTGGAGCAGTGTTCTCCGTGTCTTTTTTTGAGTTCTCAAACAGTAGTGAAAATTCTGAAAACATACTTAAGTAGTTCTCTAAAAACCAACACTATGAAAACACAATTCTATAAAAACTGTTTTCCCAAAATAGGCCCAAATGTTTTCTGTTTTGTGCAACTCCCAAAACAGAAAACTGTTTTGGGAGTTCAATTCCAAGCAGGGCCCAAATTTATTTGAGTACTTTCATATTCATTCAAAGAATGTGGGTCAGTGGGATTGTTTTTATTGTTTTTCAATCTGCTTTTGGGTTCCTCTCCCCTCTTTCTGAGTGAACTTTCACAATGCTTAGGAAGAGACTCGAATCCTATCTTAAAAATGTAAATTGAAATTTGATGCAAGTTTCGATTCTTCGTGCATCTAGTTATATTTCTATTGGAGACAACATTGGTTTAAACTCTAGGGCTGAATTGTTGTAGAAGATCTTGCTCTTAGATTGGGGTTGAATCTAGCAGCAAAATGGGGTTTTGAGTTCTTGGATTTCAAGGGTGATTCAAAAGGTTATGATGCACTTATGACTTATGAACAATTATTCTACTATAGTAGTGATTTTCAATGATATCAAATTACTTTGGAATTCTCATCCTGAGTGGAGGTTTATCTTGGATTTCTTTGTTTATATTTTGTGCCTCTTTTGGCTGATT